AGATTCATAAAAAATAATAATTATAAAACATAACAATTTTGCCATCAAATTTATTTAAACATTACATATTTAAAATAAAATTTATAATTTAAAAAATAAAATTGTTATTGAATAAGAATAATGAAATAAAAACAATTATGAATTCATTGTTTAAAATAAATAATTACAATAATAAATTAAGTGTGATAAGATTGTGTATTTGTTTAAAATATGTGTTTATTTATTGTAATTGTAAAAATTTTAAAAAATTATATAAAGTGGTCTTTGTTAATTAATAGAAATATTTGTTAAAATATTCATAATATGATTTATAATAATTAATTTATTGCATGAAAGTATGCTTTATTTTAAATTTAGAGTAATTTAATTTATTTCTATGTATTATAATTGTAAAATTTTGTTTATAAGTTGTTAAATTCTTAATAAATAAAAAATTAATATTATATAATTAATGCAAATAGGATTTGGAATATCTGATTATTGTTAATAGATTTAAAAAATAAAATAAATTGTGTAAGGTAATAATGTATGTTTGCAGAATGAAATTATTAAATATACTATAAAGAATTATTATATTGATAATAAATTAATTTTTGATTAACGTTAATTTATATAGAATAGCGTAGATGTTTATGTTTCGTAAAAAATTAATTAGGATGAATTGAAAAGTTAATATTCATGAGATTAAAATTTGATAATAGAAAATAAACTATAATATGTATTTTATTAGGTTACGATAAATTGTTTTATATCTTATTATAGAGTTATGTTATTTTTTGTATTAAATTAATTAATTTTTTAGGTGAATTTAAATAATTAAAATTGTTATAGTTAAATACTTGTAATAAAAAAAAATAGGTAATAATTAATACTAAAATGATAATATTCAATATAATTTTTAATCTATTAATTTTAAAGTTTATAGTTTAAGTTTAACTTGACAAATTTCATTTCAGATGATATCATCTTCATCACGTTGTAGGGTTTTAAATTTGAACCCAAAGAATAGTTCATTATTGCAGTATCGATTTATTCATGTGTCAGAGCATATTTAGAATGGACATGACCACCTAATTTTGAAAGTGAAGAGGAGTCACTTCATACCTGCTGACATAGAAAGGGTTCTAGTGGAGATACTTCCTCTTCTAACTTTAGCCAAATTTGTTGGAGTTGCACAATTGGCATGTTTTCCTCTTAACAGACATCTTATTACAGCTTTGGTGGGAAGATGGAGGCCATAGACTTATACCTTCCACATGCCTCTTAGAGAGTGTACTATAACTTTTCAGGACATTACTACTATTTAAATAGGACTTCATATAGATGGAAAGTAAGGATGTCCATGGGTTGTTTTGTTTTGAATTTGAAAAAAAAATAATCTGAACTGATCAAAATGGATTGGATTGGATTGGTTTAGTTTGGTTCAAACTTGTGCAAAAAAAATTGAAAATCTGAACTGAACACGAACGAGTTTGTTTAGATCATCAGATTATCTGATTAAATAACCTAAAACAAAAAAATATAAGAAAATAGAAAAAAAATGTTATTTTTTTTAATTCGAATAATTGTTGATACATAATTTGAACACAATTACACAACATTCCAACACAAATACACAAATTCAAAACAAGGCTCAATTTAAAACAAAGAAAACATGTGAGAGTGTATTTTTTTTATATATAAAAACGTCAACGCAAGTCAACGGGTTAATCGAGTATGTCATCGAGTCTACGAGTTGACACAGTGCCAACCCATTATCTGAACCAAACCATGTTGGGTTTGATCGATTTAGATCGGATCAGATCCGTTAAGTATTGGTTTGGATTGTTTTCCGGTTTAGATCGGTTTGGATTACCAGATTTGTTGGTTTATCTAATCTGATGGACACCCCTAATGGAAAGATAGTGATTGTACCTACAAGAGGTAATTGGACACCAATTGTGTATAATTTTATTGGTATTAGACCATCTGTTGATGCATTTATAGGAAGTAGTTTGAAGTTGACTTGGTTGGATCTGTTAGACAACGTAAATAATAGTTAGAAAATATTCCTCATGTAAATAATTATTAGAGATCAATTACAATCATAAGGATCCAGTATCATAGGCTAAGACTCCTCCTGTATTGATGTATATATTGATACCACCAAATCAATGACAGGCACGCATGATTTCTTACATGGTATCAGTAGTCAGTATCTAATCCTAAGACAGCGCCTCCCTCCTCATCCCTTTCTCCTATTTTCATTCCCTCTCCTTCTCTCCCTCACATCAATGGCTGACCAAACCAAATTCCACCCTGCACTTGTTGTCAACAGCGTCAAGAATTTCATCCCTATCACTTTAGAGATGGAAAAGGGTCATTACTCTTCATGGGCAGAGTTGTTCAAAATCCATTGCCGAGTATACCAAGTCATCGATCACATTATCCCACCTCCATCAAAATCAACTGACACAGAAAAGGAAAAAGTTGTATACTCTATTTTGTCAACTCTACCTCTAATGTAGTTTTTAAAACATTGGTTAAAACTGTTATTTTTATCATTCAATCATAGTTAGTCTTATTTATTTTCTTGCACCCGTGTAATTTAATTTTGTCATCTGAAACAAATATGAAGAGATGTATTAAGCATGATTTTTATTTGAATTGTGATTACGGACTCATCTTCTGGTGTTTGTAAATTGGAATGCTGATTGGGTCACCACCACTTTCGAAATTCTAAATGATGGGTACGGTTCAGGCTTTTCCTACAGTAAAAATGCTTACTTGGTCGGTTGGTCCTTCGCTTTCTCTCTGTATCCTTTTTTTCTCCAAGGAAAGCAAGTGACAAGGATCTCCACTTCAGCTACCAATGTTTCTAAGTAGTTCCTCTACAGAATTTCTCTGTTACCAGTAAACAAATGTTTAAATCCGTGAAACTGTTCTTTCCGTATCTTGAGCACTTAGCCTTAAAACCTAAATGTATAAAAGAATGTAAAAGAAAAAACTATGATTGTGACACAAATATTCTTTGGGTTGGGTCCTATCTTTTTTGTCAAAGGGTTCGAATGAACGTAATGCTTCAAACATGCATGGTGGGTACTCATGCACCTTCATTTGTCACAAGATATTTTTTTTGTCCAAGTTATGTAAATAATTCAATAAAAATAATAGAAACAACTAATGTCAGTCATACATGCATCAATTTCCTACGTGAATCGTTCCTTTGCTATTTCCTTCTTTCAACCTTAATATATATTAAGAATTTATTATGTTTATTACAATTTATGATTTTATTACATTATCTGTTGAGTCCTGCATTGAAATATTTCTCCTTTCTAAAGGATAAAATAAAGCGGCCTAGATTAAAGACCATTCTACTAAGGTTATTAAGCCCATAATTGGTCCTGTTGTTGGCTTGTTGCCTTGTCAATAATAGATCATTATTAACAAAAGTTTAGTAAATGAACTGTCATCAGAATTATTAACTGAATTACTTGCGACCTTCCCCACATAATAATTTTTTTAATAATTTATTTGTGAACCTAGTCCCCTTTGTTAAGGGAACAAGATAAGTCTACAAGACCTTTTATTTTGAGTTTAAGCATCCATAAAATAAAAAAAATTATAAAAAAAATTACATATTTATTGTATTAAAATTATAAAAATACAATAAATATTTATTTTTAATAAAATTTATTATTATTAATTATTTATCTTCAGCCCTAGAATAGAGGTTAACAAACCTGTTGAAAGTTAAAACCTTACATGTATTGGAAAAAATATGCAAACTACATACTCAATAATTGGAATTATTTATAACACATTAATTTACATACTAACTTAAGGAATAAAAGGCGGTGATTAATTAGTTTAGGACGTACATAGCATGAAGACTCTTTTTTGCATCACGTTTTTATTTTATTTTTTTGTCAATGAGGTTTCTTTTCTCAGTTAAATTGGAACTATATGTTTTATATTTTAATGCAGTGGTTAGCATTTATCGGTTTTAAAATAATTAGTACTGTCATTTTCAATCATAACGCATCGTTAAATTAGTGCTTAACAAACAATTTAAAGTAAAAATACAATAAATTAAAATAAAAGACCACCTACTTAGTTAAAAAGAGAGCAAGTTAGAGGAAAATAACGCCAAAGAAGAGACCCTACTCATCACAGTGGTTTTTGGGACAAAACCGGAATCAGGTGAAAACAGAGCAAGTGCGGAGAGACTTTGCGTTGCTTTCACGTGGGTTGGTGCCATTATAACTCCCGCAACTGCTACCGTGATGGCAACGTCCACACAAACAAACAAACCTTACAACAATATTTAATACAATACTAACTCAAAAGGCACATACATAAATATTACTACTTAGTTGTCAAAACATGGCAACATTATAAAAACAACACAATAATAGTAAATAAAGAAAGTACTCAAGTACGCTGAAATTTCAAATTTAATTTCGAATATCTCTACAATTTCATTTCAATTCGTCAAAATAAAATAAATACATACACAATATTTATATATATATATATATATATATAATTTGTTTACATTTTTACCAGAGTCAGAGACTCATATCTCAGCTTGAAAATAGCTATCAAGTCATGGTCTCCACTCGGATCCGAACCCGGGACGACTCAGTGGATGATACTCTCCCACCCTTGTGCCATCTCTTCGGCATTCCCTAACACAAAATATTCATACGCTCACTAACAAACTCTTCTTCTCTCAACCCATTACCCACCTTCGTGAGATAATAATATTAATAAATATTCAATGGTACGTAAAAAGAAGGAGGCCTAAAAATTTCTCTGCACTCAATGGGGGTTAAAGTGTAAAATTCCCCACTCGTTTGCAAAACTCGGCCGAGTCATAATCAAGTTTAACTCGCTTGTCTTTGAGACCCCCAAATAAGACCAACTATTACCCGGTTCAGAATCGGAGTGGCTAATTAAATGAGAAGAACCGAACCGGATGGTTCGTTGTGGTTCAGTCCGGTTCGATTGGGAAGTTACCAAATGGTTTTGTCAGTGAGGGCGTGGAGGATCGGTCGAGATTCGGGCCAGAAGTCAAGGTTGTTTCTGATGCTGACGTGGCAGTGTCTCTGAAAATCGTCGAGGTTTAAAAACCGGTTCGATTTGTCGGAATCGGACCGGGAAATGAACCGGAGAGCCTCTTGGAAGAGCGATTCGTCGCAAGGGATGGCCAAGGGTCCGTGGTTGGCGAAGCCGTACTCTTCCTCGGCTTCAAGGAGAAGCTTCTTGAAAAGGGGGTGGTTCAGGTACGACGCGCGCACAACAAATCTTGTGTAGTTGCTGCCCACGCACACCGCCACGTGTCCGGCAGGCACATCGGACGGTGCACGATTGGCAGACATGCGGGCCTTGTTGCGCCACCGCCGTAGCATCTGGCGCAGGCGAACAATGTGACGGATTTTGCTACATTTGGCTGACATTTTCTTTTGCTTGGTTCTGTTGCTGACGAACAAGTTGCTGCAACTAATGTGTGATAATTGAAAAGAGAGCGAAATAAAAATGGAGCTTGCGGGGATTCCAAGAATGCGAGGGGTTTAGGATTTATAGTGTTGAGCTTTGGAAAGTGCCCTTGGGGTTTGGGGATAATTACCAACTACTGTCTGCGGTTTTTGTAGCATATTCAAAGGTAGCATTTTGCTGACTATAAAAATAAGAAGATCCATGTTGGATAACCTTTGTGTGTCATTGCGTAATATATTTTAGGATTATTTCTTTTTTTAAGAAAATCAAATATATATATCATCCTTTCTTTTGCAGTTAAGAAATTAATTTTGTTGATACATGGTTGGAAGATAAAGTGGAATTTATCCAATATCGCATTACTAGTTTATGCAAGTAACTTTCGTTTACATTTCTCGTTAATTTTGTTTAGTGCAACCGTTCTTTTTTATTATTATAATTGAACTACTGTTGTTTTGTTTGGGCACACTCTTTAATTTTTTTACGTTAGAAATAGTAAGTCTTGGAAAACTTATTGATGATTGGATTCATAATGTACTATTGTTGTGCGATAGGAAAATGTGAAAAGGCTTATTAAATACACTCAAAATAAATATTAGTTATTGTATTTTTATATTATTTTTATATTCATTTTCTCTTTTCTTTTCTTTTTTTATTATCACATATCAGATCATCTCTCTCTCTCTCTCTCTCTCTCACACACACACACATATATATTTGTTATTTTTCTTATTTCTCTTTTCCTTTACAAGTGTCAAACCATTGATTTTCAGTAAATCTTATAGAAACAATGAATCGAAAGTGGTATTTAAAAACGGGGCAAATTAAAAGAGAATGTAATAGAATACTGTCAACTTTTATTCTTTAAAATAACATGTATTTAATTTTAATTAATATTACACTTTCTATTTTTCTTGAGAAATATGCGATAAATTTATTTCTCACTTCATAAAACTGCATGTTTAAATATGAAATGATAACTTTATTCTATTTTACTTAATTATATTTTAATCTACTTCATTTATTATTAAATATTTAAATTGTAGGTATAACCATAATATTGAAATGTTATTGCCTCCGAAAGATACATAATTGGTCTAAAAAAATAATGAAATCTTATTGTTTTGCGTTTATAACGAAGAAATGTATATAAAATATTCGTATTTCCTTTATTTTTAAGAAAAATAAAACCTTAACACTTCGGTAAATTTATGAATCGGATTGAGCCAGTGTAGAGAAAAAAAAATCAAATAGATTAAAATTACTTGGATTGCGTTATGTCAGAATTCTAAAAAAGAAAAGAAAAAAGTAATTAATTTAATCCAAACAAATCTAATGAAACTCAAGTTAGATCAAATCAAGTAATCGGGTTGATACGTATTAATGATTTAACTTTAAAATTTTATATGATACATCCACATGTATAGAAATATAGACATATATTATATATATATTATAAAAATATTAATAAAAAATAAAATAAGATAAAAAGGGTGTAAAAAGAGAGAGAAAAAAGTGAGTTCTTCGTGTTAGTTTATAATCATTGAATTCAATAACATTAAAATATATTTTTCTAATTTGAAAATGATTAGTTTTATAATCTTATATTTTTTTAAAATATTACATATTACTTTAATTTAAAAATAAAAAATTAACCTTTTCTTTCTTTCTTTATTTTTTACACAATTCTACTTTCAAATATATCCAATGAACCCTTCCAAATGCTACCATTATCTTGCATGTATGTAATAAGATGGGGTTGCTGGTCCAGGCGCTTCTTGCTCCTTATGCAATAAAAGAGTCAGGAGTCAAAGACTTGACGGCAAGGGAAAATAGACAGAAACGATATCTTATGGGTCATTTGCTTGATTACATTTCACATGACGCACGCATAACACGTAGGATATCCAGATTGAGAGTTATGTATTATTTGGTATTTTTAACATATTTAATCTTATCATTAATTAAAACGCATGTAAAATTTATTAAATCATGTAAATTTAACTTTTATTTAATGAAATTTATATAATTTTATTAACAATGAAAAAAACATGACGCTAACGTTTCTAATAATTGGGAAACATAAACTGACAGTGGTCAATATCGATCGAAGAACAGATCTTAAAGCCTAAATATTATTCAAAATTGCCCGAATAAGTTGCAGCAAGAACAGGGTAGATGAATACCTTGCATCAATTTGAGGGCATTAAAACCGTGTGCGCGTCTTAAAATCTTTGTGCCCTAGTTTGAGTTTGGCTGCCAATTCTTTTTCTATAGTCTATACATCTCTCTGAAGCGATATATTGTTGAAGAAAATGCATTTAGATTTGAAGAAACCAACTTTTTAAATAATTTTATAAAAATAGATTGTATTAACTTATTTGTCAACTTATATAACATTATTTTAATTATAATATGTATCATCTTTTTACATATTTTAAATATTATTTCATATATTAATAATGTGATAAAATATTAATTAAAGCCTGAGATAATTGTAAGCTTCTATGTTTTATTTAAGATAGATTTTTTTACGTGAGTATAAGTTTAAAAATTTTTATATTTAAGTTTTTTATTTAATTTATATTTAATAAATTATAATTTATTATTTTATTAACTATTATAAGTTAAATAAAAAGTTCAGATTAAATATAAAAAATTTTAGATTTATTAGTGTAAAATTTTTTATTTTTTTTTTTAAAATATAAACACAATACATTTTTTAGTTACAATGTGATTGAATAAAAGAGGATTAAATTTATTTAATTTAAAAAAAATTGAATTATCTTTAACTCATTGCAATTTAATCTCAACCTTTATTTATAAGTCTTCGTGGTTGCCTTCTTAATCCCTCCTCATAGTACGACTTATTGTCATATTAATTATAGTTATTATCGTGGTCACCATAAAATCGCCATTTATGTACGCAGTGATAGACCTAAAACTTTAAATTGTGAGGATAATATCCACAAGTCCTTATAAATTTATAAAGATGAAAAAAAATTACTCCAAGGACAATTGAGTTAAAATTTGTTTTTAAAATAAAATTCAAAATTATTACACTATTTAACGATAATTCACATCGCAATAATTTTAAAATTTAGGACATGTATGAAAGTGTTTTTAGGAAAAATATTTGTATAAATTTATTAACAAGATTTAGATTAAATAATATATGTTTATTTTTAAAAGAGAAACTAAAACTTAAACAAAAAGAAAGTATTTTCGAAAACTTCTATTATGCTGTAAAAAGTTATAATAATTTTTTAAAAATGAGTTAAACAAAGCATATACTTGATTGCAAATACATAATAAAATCATCGATGTTTGCTTTATTAATTTTATAATAAGAAAACATGTGATAAAATAAGTATTTTAATTTGGTCTTTCAATATTTTTTTATCATTTTAGTCTTTTATTTTTATTTTTTATTTTAGTTTAATTTCTTAATTTTTAAACATCAACAAAATAATTTTTAAATAATTATATTTAGTTTCATTAATTATTTTGTATATAATTTTAAAAATTATTGTCGTTATTATTATCATTACTATTTTTTTCTTCTTCGCTTATTTAATTTTTGAAGACAAATATAACTAATAAAAAGAAATTATTTAATAAACGTTTAAAAATGCAGATATATTTGATGTCCCTACGTAGTCCGTGCGGTAGGCTTTGGCGCACGAAGTGGACGTCTGAAAGTTCAAAGTAGATAGCAGAAACGAAGGCCCCGCAGGCATGAACAGTTGGGAAAGGGACCTTTGTAGCTGAGGAGTGCTATGTTCGGAAAGTAAACACCTACGGATTTATTCTGAAGTTTTTTCACTATATTTTTATAACAATCATTATCTTTCAAAACCATGTTTGGTAGCATCACAATTAAAGGAAAGAAAATGAATTTAAAGGCCAAATTATTTAAATAATCGCTTTCTTGTTGACATCATTTAATACAAGTTGTTTTTCCTTTATTTAATTTTATATAAATATAAACTAATTTAATGACTTCGGAAAAAACTAATTACCCTTTTCTTTGTTTTCCTTTTGTATATGATATCAAATAATAATGAAGTTCACAATACTACTCTACCGAACAATGCATTTCACTCTCTCTCTCCTTCCTAATCAACACAACCAATCAGTGGCTGAGGATAGGCTGGCTAACAATTAAAAATGTTTTTGTTTTTGTTCATCTCTCAAAAAGGGAACCTTAAAATATTGGAAAAAACAACATATGTAAATTTAATATACAGCTCTTCTTCTAAAAAGGCAGCACTTCGCAAACCTCCAAATCTGACCATACCCCATGTGCAGGGTTACCCCATCGCTCCATTTCTTTATATTTTTCGAATACACTGCCAAAAACACCCTTCTTATCCCCCATATATAGCATCTTAAATTATATTTCAACTTAATTCACTTCTTATTTTATGATTATTAATTTATTTTATACACATAATTTTCGACATTTGTCATTTGGCTGACTATATTAAGAGTATGTTTATAAAATTGAATTTAATTTATATTTTATTTTATTTTTAAATTAGTTTATAGTATAATTTTATATTATTTTTTTAACTTAATACGATCATAGAAGAAAAATCATTTTTAGTTAAATCTGATCAATATAATGATACAATAATTATAGCATCTTTATATATATTCAATATAATTTAAATATGTAAATATATTTTAAACATTCGCTAAGACTAATGATATTCAACACTTTCAAATAAAATCTCTTAGAAACTGCGACGATGTAGTCCCTTAATATCACAAAACCATTGTAACATTATGAAAATATAGTTAAAATTTTGGCCGATTTGGATTTATGGGTCCACTTTGCTAGTGTTGGGAATAATTTGTTAAGCATGGTGCATGCCCCTAACTGTTACATTTGTATAATTTGATTTGAGCATAGAACCCCACTTGCTAGAACCTAAGGGTCATGGCATTTATTTGC